ACACTGGGCCTGGAGTTAGAAGATCTGATTTCAAATCCTGCCTCAGACATATGTGTTAGCTGTAAGACCGTGGGAAATTCACTTAACCCTATTTTCTTCAGTTTCCTCATCTGTTGGAGAAGAAAATAGCAAATCATTCTAGTATCTTTGCCAAGAAAACCACAAATGGGGTCACAAAGAATTGGACTTCACTGCCATGACCGAACAACAACAGTTACTACCCATATACCCTTTGCTTATTCTGTAGGATATGGGAGTTGAACCACATAATGTTCAAGATTTCTCAGCTGTAAAGTTCTGTGATTCCAGTGTGAACTCTACATAACGCCCTCTTGTCTTATGGTCTTTTGCTCATTTATTTTCTTTTTTTGGATCGTCTTTTAAAATACAACAATATATAAAGAATGAAAATTCTGTATTTGTCAGTAAAAGCGTTAGGATTCTATCAGAGTTTATTGTTTATAGGTTTCCTCCCACTCTTTAGTTTTGGAGGAAAACCAAGAATAATTATTTTCATTACATAATTTTCTGCCAAACTAAAAAATGGTCTAAACGAAAGGCATTCCTTTTGATATTGAGCTTCTCCAAATGCTCCTCATTGCAAATGACATTGCACGAATTGCATTTTGCCCCAGAGCACTATAGAGGCTCTTCAGTGAAAAGATTGCTCTATCTGTCTACAATGGAAAAATAAAGTGAATGGAAAACAAAATCATGACCTAAATTATGACATGTAATTTTTAAAAGTAGTAATTAGCACAATGTTATGCAATGCTTTTATCATAGGCTTCCTGAAACAAAGGGTCCAGGTATATTTGGGAATGATTCCCACTTCTGGCTTGTTATTTGATATTTCAATATCTGGCACTCTTGCAAGGTTTGGCACCAGCTCCCCTTGAAGTGAATGAAGTTTATAAATTTTAAAGACCTATAGCCACATAGTTGACAAAGTATTTTAATGAAATTTTTAGGAGAATATATTTTTTATAAAGAGAATTTCAGAAATATTTATCTCCTTGTCAGATTATAAAAATTTATATCAGTCATATAGACAAATGTAATATGTACTGATTTCTCCTACAGGACTTACCTTAATTTTCTTTCTTTTGGACTTTTCCTCCTTACTTTTCACTGAGGCTTATAAGTCTGAGAGCATAAAAAATAATTTTATTTTTTAAATTTTATTTACAAATATTTGGCTGCAGCAAGTACTCCTCTGCCCCACTGGGTAATCATACCTCTAATCTGTACAGTCTCTCTGACTTACAGTCTTGTCCTAGATGATGCTTTAGAAAGGGGTAAGAGATGGTGCAGGGGGTTGCTGCTCCCCGTTGCTCTCCATTTTCTACCCCCTATAATTCTACTCAGCTCCTGATAGATGATGATTGTCAGTCATCTTAGACCCTGCCAGCTCTAGTTCTACTTCCAGTGGTTTAGCCTCCAGCATAACTGTCCTCTGTAATTCTCCCTTCTGTAGTGAAGGTTTTGCTGATGGCCACAGTTCTGAGACTCCAGCAGATGGTATCTGTAGCCTTTACTTCCAGGAGACTCCTGCCCCTCGAGCCTTTGTCAATCATGGAGTGACCACCGTTCAATCCTTGCCTTGCTTGACTTTATAGCTAAAAAACATACCTCAGAACCAGTTTCAGCGCCAGAGCGCCTTCATTTTTTTTTTTTTTGTGCATCGTCTTTTGTATGGCCCTTGTGTTCACATATAGATTTTTCAGGATGTTATTGAAATATTCCCTTCTTGCTGTTTTAAATTATTCTCTTAAATTAGCTTTAATCTCATGGTGCTTACTAGAACCATTTGTCCAGGTGGGGACTGTCCCACTTGCACCAGCATTTGCTTCTAGGTCTCAGTTTGGGGTCATTCTATCTCTCACCTCAGTTTTTTCTCCTTCCTTAGTCTTTTTCTTGATAGTTGGGCCATATTATTCACATTTCTCTGGGGCTGCTCCTGAAAAATCTTTAGAAGGGAGAGGTGAGGTCTTTGGGGAATGCACTGTTATAAAGGAAAAGGATATTTGTAATCCTTGCTACTTTTATTTTTTTTATCATGGACAAGTTCTATAGATGGATAAATTGAGTTGGGCCTAGAATTGAGTAATAAAAAGGATATTGGAATAGAAAATTACACAGATTGGTGATATGCCATTACCAAAGCCCATCTTTAGCATCAGTGCTCTCTCAATGATAATGTCATGACTGTGAATCATGGAACGTAATAATGACAGAAGAATTAAAATCTCTTACAAGTCAGTGGGCAATGGAAGAAGATGTGGCAAGTCTTAGCAGGCTATGTAGCATGTTCCTGACTCCGTGAAGCAGATTTACACAGACTGACACTGTACACACAGAGTTTCTATTATAATTACTTGCATACAGCTTTTATACTTACTAATATTTTTCATAACCTGTCTGAGACAAAGTAAAGTAGAAGGATTAGAAGATCTAGAATGCCATTAACTTTTTCACTTATTATTCATGTCACTTTGGATATCACTATTCATTAGGAAATCAAGGTGAAAATCTCAAAGATGAATCATGTTTCCAAGGATAGTTGGCTGGACCAGGCCTCAATTGATTTGAATAACTTCTGCCCATCTTTTTTAGAATTAAACAATGAAATGAGGTGGGGTGGGTGGTAAAAAGACTTACTTCTGTGAAAACATACAGATACAGTTATTTGATATCTGACAATTTTGTAAACTCTTCTTCATGTTATGCATTTCTCTTTTGTGTCTTCTGTATGTTATATGATATTTTCTATTTTAATTTTTCAGTAGTTGAGTGAGTCTTTGTATTTGCTAGCTCATTCCTGGCATTATATTATCTGTACACAACTTCACTTTATTATGGAAATAATTCAGCTAAGATAAAGGATAATTTTAAAATTCAGCTCAGTCATTTCCACATTTAAAAAGGAAGTAATAAAATAGTAAAAGAGGAATGACTAGCCTTTGCAAATTAGAGGTTTAGATTTAATGACCTCTGTCTTGCTATAATCCCAGTGTTTATTCTATTTTATTTAAAAAAACTAACATTTATTAAATGACTGCTTTGTGTAAGGTGCTATTCTAAATTTAGGGAACACAAAGAGAGGTAAACTATAGACCTGCTCTTAAAGAGCCTACAGTCTAATGGGGATGGGGGTAGGAAAATGTATCCAAATAATGGTAACACAAAGTAAAACTATATTAAGTACAAAAGAGGGCAGGTAGAATGTAAGCCCTTTGAGAGCAAGGACAGTTTTGTTTTTGTCTTTGTATCTCCAATATTTAGCACAGTGCACATGGCACTTAATATATCTTATTAAACCAAATTGAGACAGTTAGGTAAAATGGTATGAGAAATTTGAGAAAGATGTTCTTGGTGACATCAGGGAAAACTGGGTGGAAGAGGTGACACGTAAACCAGGTTTTGAAGGAAGAGGAGGATTTTACTAGCTGGAAATGGGAGAATGGATGAAGTACTTTCCAACGGTGGAGGATGATATTGGTGAAGGTAAGACAGAGGTAAAAAAAGATGAGAATGAGGATGGAGAATACCTTGATGTGATTGGAATACATAGGGTACATTATTAGGCTGGAAATGTAAGTTGGAGGCAGATTGTTGAGGATTTTAAGTGCCAAGATTAATTTATTCTTTATTATTTAGTAGAATGTTCATGGGACCAGAATATTATGTTAAGATTACTTGGGCAGTAGAGTGAATAAGGGGAGAGTGAAGAAGAAAGGGAAGATACCAGAAATGTGTCAACCAATTAGGGGTCTATGACATTATTCTAGATGACAGGATAATAAGGACCTAAACTACGGTGGTTATGGTGAGACTGGAAAGGAGAACATGGATATACAAGAGACTGTGATGTGATAAAATTAATAGGACTTGGCAAGTTTGAATCATCAAATGTCAGAGCTGGAAGAGATCTGAGAGATAATTTAGTCCAACTGCCTTATTATACAGATGAGATGAGGAAAGTGAGAGCCGGAGCACTGAATTGACTTGCCTAGGGTCATACAGCTTGCAAGTGAAAGAACTGGAGGTGATTTCCATATGGCAAAGTAGAGGGAAATATTAAAGATGACTCCTATGCTATGAATCTGTGGTGGCATTATCAGGAGAAATGTGGAGAGTGATATAGAGGTGGGTCGGTTGTTTTGTGGGAAGTTAAGCTTATTTGTAGATATGTTGCTTGAGGTTTTGATGAATGAGTTAATAAAAAAGCATTTATTAAACACTTATTTTTATGCCGCATACATACTATTGTGCTAATCACTGGGGATACAAATGTAGTAAGCAAGATTGTGCCTGTCGTCAAGGATCTTATGTTCTGATAGGAAAGGCAGCAGAAAGAGGTGAGCAGTATAGAATACTGAGAGGAGGGGAGAGAGCTATAAAGAGTACATGGGAGGTAGAGTGGCTTGGAGATGACTTGGAAGTGGTAGTGGGAATGGGCCTGGGACAGGGTAAGATAAGGTGGAAGTTCACCAATCAAAGCCTGGGTCCCAGGGGTGGGAGTCTTAATTCTGGTAGAAGGAGGCAGCAGGTAGAGATGTTCAGTAAACTCTTGGACGTAAGAGACTGATAATCAGCTTTTATAGCCTTATGTTTTTGGAACTCTTAAGTTTTATTTTCCTTTGCTTTATTGGTCCCTTACCTCTCCCTTTTTAGCTCAGTGTGATACTCAAGTTCAAGATGTTTACATAGATTCCTCGGTTGTTAGAGCTATTTGGGGTCATATAGGCCAACCCACTTCATAATGAAAAGGAGGAAATTTCTGAGAAGTTCCAAGAATATGCAAAATCATAGAACCTTAACACTTGTAATCATATCTAGCTTATTAAGGTAGCCTAATAGTTGGAACTTTGCCTTATCAGATGTATATTATACTTAGTGAACCCTTTGAGATTCTTAGGATTACCATTACTCATGAAGATTCAGAATGCAGTCGTGTTTTTAGATTAATACATTTTTCCTTCTCCTTTTTTGTTCAGCTGGAATGCTTGCTTATTCCTTCAAAAGGTTTTAAAGCAGAGACACAGGAGCAGAAAATTTCAGAATGCCGTCTGAAAGGTGCCTCAGGTATAGTGCTGAATTTTCTTTGAGGGTGTCATGCCAACTTAATGTGAAGCTTTACTGAAACATAAACCAGCTTCACTAATTAGACCTTTTGTTAATCTAATGTAGCATGAAGACTAAATGCTTTGGCCTTTTCTATGTTGCTTATAGCCATCCCTTCTTTTCAGAGTATTTTTTTAGACCATTCTTCCTTCATTTCCTTTCTCCTGTCTAAGAGTGCCAATATCAGGTGTGACCTGAAAATAATGTGGCTGATGTTTTAACATATGCTTCCAGACTTCAGGATATCTGTAATTTATTGATATGGGTAATCCCTTCCCAAGCTCCCACTGTAGCTGGCTTTCCTCTTAGTAGCTTGTCTTTGTGAGCTGTCTTGTCAGGTGCATGTTGGGTGTGAGGCATATAGAGGCAGAAACAGAACAATCTCTTCCCTCAAGAAATTCATGTTCTCTTGGCATAGTCACTTGGTGGACAGCTTCTCCAGCCTTAACTAAGCCAGCTCTTGGATGACACTTGGCTTCTAGGCCTGTGCCAGAGTCTTTCCAACTTAGGGTAGGGCATAACAGAGCTTAAACATTATTGATAAAAACCTTTAATAACCCATTGTCACCTGAATACTAGGAGGAGGCACCAGAGAACAGAGGATTTTACCATATGCTAGAGAATATAGAGTAAACTGGGTGTTTATTATTTCTCTGAAGCTCCCTTAGAAGGCTCCGCATTTATTCTTAAAATGCTGTTGATACTCAAAACATTTTTAAAATTGTGTTTTTGGATTTCCTCAATAATGAAAAGCCTTTGTCCTTTAGGGATTTTATTTTGGGAGACAGCCAAGCATCATTCAGCACCGAGTCTGGTGATCAGTCAATCAATAAGCAATTTATTAATTGCTTACAGTGTGCCAGGCCATGGGCTATGTGCTGGGGATAGAAAAGTGAAAGTGAAAATTCCTACCCTCAGTGAACTTATGTTCAAATGAGATAACATATAGAAAGTACTTTTCAAACCTTAAAACAGTATATAAATGCTATTATTATTATTATTACTGTTATTCTGTTGGCAAAACAACACATACATGTGTGAGTGTTTCTGTGATATATACAGTATAATAAATAAATATTGCATTTTGAGGTTTGCAAAGCTTTGCAAATGGTATCTCATATTATCCTCACGATAAGCCTGGGGGGTAGGTACTATTATTATCCTTATTTTACAGATGAGGAAATTAAGATGGAGGTTAAATGATTTGCTCAGGATCACATAGCTAGTAAGTGTCTAGGACTAGATTTGAACTCACATTTACCTGACTCCAGGTTGAGTGCTTTATCCACTCAGCCACTATATGTCTATATCTATAGACGTATCTATGTCTCTAATTATCTATATCCACATAAATATGTGGATGTAGATACACACACACACACAAAATATACACCAAATAAATGTGAGGTAATTTTTTTGTGGGAACTGCTATTGGAGGAATATGAAATAGTCTCACATAGTAGGTACCATTTGGGTTAAACTTTGAAGAATACTAGGGATTATGAGAGGTGTGAGGAGAGAAGGGATGCATTCTAGGCATAGTGGATAACTCTTTAAAGGCACAGAGATGGGAGATGGGCTGCTGTGTGTGGGGAGAAGGTTAGTTTGGCTGAACTGAAGAGGCTGTGAAGGAAGGTGTAGTTGGAAAATTAGGTTTAAGTTGGGCTGTGAAGGGTTTGAAATGTGAAACAGAGGAGTTTGTATTTGCTACTTAAGCTAATAGGGAATCACTGGTATTTATTGAGCAGGTGAGTAATTTAGTCAGACTTGTAATTTAGGAATACCATATTAGCAGCTGTGTGGAGGATGGCCTGGGGAAGGGAAAGACTTGCAGTAGGAAGGTCCGTTAGGAGGCTATTGAAATGGTGTAAACAAGAGATAATGAAGGCCTGAACTTCATGATGGGGTAGTCATGTAAATTGAGAGAAAGGGACAGATGTAAGAGATGTTGCTCAGGAGGAATCAACAGGACTTTGTGGATGATTTATAAATGTCAGGTTGTGGGAAGTGGGAAGTTGAGGATAGCATTGCAGTTGCAAGCCTGGGTGACTAGAAGGGTGGTGGTGCCTTTGACATAAATAAAGAGGAATGTGTTTGTGGAGAAAGATAATGAATTCTGTTGTGGAATGTTGAGTTTGAGATGCCTATGAGACATTCATTTATGGATGTCAAATAAGAAGTTAGTGATGCAGGATTTCAGGAGAAAAGTTACGATTGGATATATAGATCACTAAATCTACCAATCACCAAACATTTAAGTGTTGAGGATATCAAGAAAAGGGAAACTACTGTCTTTGCTCACACATGATCTGACATTGGAGATAACGTGGAGATAGCATTTATATATCTATGTACTTGCAAGATAGAGACAGAATAAATGGAAATTAATCTTGAAGCAAAGGTACTAGTCCAGAAGAAACATGTATAAATCACACACACACACACACACACACACACACACACAAATTTAAAAAATAGATACAAGTAATTTGGGGGAAAGAGGCATTCAGCAGTTGGAGAGGGACCAAGCAAAGAAGTCATGTAGAAGCTGGTGCTTAAACTGACTAAAGGAATCAGATTTCTGAGAGGCAGAGATTTTAGAAGGGACTGTATTCCAGCCTGGGGGGATAGCCAGTGCAGAAGGATAGAAACGAGAGATAGGATATTGTGCATGAGGAAGAGGAAGAAGGCCATTTTGTCAGGACAGTAGTCTGTCTGAGTGGAAAGTAATAGTAGAAGGGTAGATCTGAGGGTCATCTAAATAGAGATAATATGAACCCATGGATTGATGAGGTCACTAAGAGAGAGAATGTGCATAGAGCAGAGAAGAGGTCCCAGAATAGAAGTTTGGTGTATATGGATAGTTAGAGGGTGGGATAAACTAAGAATGACCAGTCAAGGCTAGAAATAAGGAGAGAAATAACAAAGGGTTATACTTTATTGGGTCAAAAATGAGGTGTAACTATAAACTAAGGAGGTGAATTTCTTTTGCATTTCATCAACTAGTTTGGAAGGTGATTCCCAAAATATTTTGAGCAATGAAGGGCAGCATCAGAATGTATGTATAGCCTGTCTCAGAAGGACAGCATCTATTTGGATCTATGATATGTGATATGTTGCTTTTAAAAATCAGTCCTCTTTAGGGTCACACGTTGTATTTCTGATTCTTTATCTGCCTTCAGACTTCACTGTGTAATTTCTTAGGTATGTATTAAACGTATGTTGTATGTTCTTCCTATTTGCTTTATCTGATATTTTGTTCTTTGTTGCCAGGTAGCATTTAACTCTGATGGGTATTTTGGGATGTAGTTTGTGAGAAATATTCTCTCAGAAAATAAAGTTTGATTCTATTATAAGAGCTTTTTAACAACCTGCCAACTAAGATGAATAAATTTCTTTTAACATTCATGCATTTCATTTGTATGAAAACCTCTTGAGAAAAGTAGAGGAAGGAGAAGGGCCCTCTGGTTTATTATACCAGAAGGCAGAATTGAGATAATCATGAATAATTTTATTACTATTGAATTCTTGAAAAGCTGGATGAAACTATTTGAAGAAATCTATATTGACACTATCCATTTTTCCTTTTTTTTTTTTTAAATGTAGAACATAGTGTTTAAGAAAAGTATGGATTTTTAATGGTACTCGGTCTTTTTTAATATGCAAATATGTCATCCAGCTATTGATCCTCTTATTTGAAAACTAGTTGTACAAAATGACTATTTTTGCATGTATGTTTTTGTATATTTAAATACTAAGTAAGTATGGGTATAGAAGTTGACATGAATTTTAAAATAAAATGCTGTTGAGTATGCAGATATTTGAAAATGTGCAGCTGTTTAAAAAATTTACATCTTTAAAAAGTAGCTGAGCATGCACCAGATTTATTCTGTGAAAATGAGTCTTTGAGTGTTATAGAAAACTCATAGGGAAAAGTCTTCTTTATAAAAATTGTTACATTGATTAAAATCAAACCAGCAGAGGTTGCAGTAATAGAAACGCTTTCAGAACATTATCTATACCCTTCTCTGATCCATGTATTTTCCTGTGGCTAAGGTTAGTTAACTCTGGACTTATCAGATGTTGCTGTGATGAGTCTTGCTTGTACAGGGAGTTTGGGATCTTCTAGTGTGCCACTAATCTTAAGGCAGTGAGGGTAGAGCATTGTGGTATTGTTGGATGGACTGATGGTTCCAAATCTTCCGGGTAGGGACTTTTGAAATTGCTGTGGTGGGGAAAAGATAAAGGTAGCTTCTGTTCTCATGAGACTCTTGAAGATCTAAAATAAGCTGATTTGGAAGGGCTCACCCCTAACCAAAGGAAGGTCACTTTCTGGAGTGGACCCGCATGTCTATTTTAACATTGCAACCTTTGTTCAGTGGTGGATCTCCTGCTTGGAGGATAGAGGGGGCAGGCTTTTGAGCTTTCCTCAGGAAATTGATATCCTGCCTCTTTTTAGTTATCGAACTAGGGTGTAACTGTATAACTAAAGTGAGGGGATCAGGGCTTTGCCCCTGGAATACCAGAATTAAGAAAGCATAAATTTTTAACACATGGACTCTGGCAGGATGGAAGGTAAAGAATTCCTCCAGCCGCCCAACAAAATTTGTTTTAATTACTTTTTGTATTATGTTCCAATAAGAATCTCAAGGTTGATCTGAGCCCTCATACTCTTTGCTTTGCCTCACCTGTGATTTTCTTGCCCTAACTGCCAAAATTGCTAGTTATAGCTCTGACCAGACTCCACTACTTCAGCACAGTCTCTGGAGGATTCTTTTCTTTTCTTCTTCTTACTTCCTTTTCTTCACCCTCAGAGTTTTAGAAAGAAAGAATACTGAAAGAGTAAGTTTTAGGAAATTTACCTAAGCATTTGTGATCTCCATTGCTAGAGAGGCCACATCAATGAAAGCATGATCCATGACAGCATCAGGGACAGATTGTGATTCTAAGGGATCTCTTGG